TTGTCTTCTACATCTGGGATCTGAGTGACATTTTACTCAAGAAGGACCCAGGATACTGGAAGGAATTCAAAGGAGAACAGGGTTAAGAGATTTGGAGAAAGGGATTGAATTAGCCACCATTTCAAATGCTATGGGCCTGAGAGAGGCCCCACAAGAGCAGGAAAGGGCAAGTATCAATATGAGTTCTCTCCCACCCTCTGTAGAGTCTAGGATACCAGAGAGACTTAAGTGGTGAAATATTGCCCAAAAGGAATGTGAAACTATAAATGCCCCATTTCTCATTCATTTACACATTCAACAAGTGTTTGCTAAAAACATACTATAAGCCTGCTACTGTGGTGGGCCTGGAGATAAATGGTGAATAATAAAGGTCACAAGGTCATCTTTTTTGGAGATCACAAAGTAGCAAGGTAAAATTTCATCTTACAAGTGCTAAGAAATAGATACGTACATAGTGTAAAGGGACAAATTGGAGGCTGTGATCCAGTTGAGAAGATTCCAAAAGGCTTCCTTGAGGAAGTGATATTGCACTGAGATTGAATGAAAGCCAGTGAAGAAAAGAGGGAAAAGTGTTATCAGCAAATGGAATGGCTTATGCAAGGCAGAGAGTACATTGGTCTCAGTTTGCCTTTAATCCCAAGTCAAGGAAAAGTGAACAAGGGTTTCATTAGTAAAGGCTAGAGGGTGATAAGAACAAAATGAGACTTATCTTTAGAGAAGATTCTATTCTGCTCATTGATGCAAAGAATGGCTGGCCCAGCAGCCAATTATACTTCTAGGCCTAGACAAACCACCATGGAAGGAGGGTGCAGCAGTCATCCTGAAGGCACAGTGCTGAGGCTGCCAGAAAGTGAGGGGAGCATTCTGCCAAAAGGCTTCACTCTAGCATCAGCTGAAAATCTCAGGAGATGGGACACACTGGCATGAGTCTTTACTGTAGCTTTAGTGGAAGTGGCAATGCTTCTAAATACGCAAGCCAACTCATGAGAATCCTTAGAAGCTGCAACACCGAATTCTGAGAAGTATGTGTTGGAAGAGCCTAGCTCTGCTCTCAGGCCTATTGGAATGTTGGATTGGCCAATTTCAAAACAAGATGATGCATTGTGGTAGAAAAACAGATGAACCTCAAGCACCTAACAGAGATCTTGACGTAAAGAAGATAAGAAAAAAGAAATGACTGTGTGTGTGTGTGTGTGTGTGTGTGTGTGTGTGTGTGTGTGGCACTTGGCATGGCACTTGGCATCTATAATTATGCATTCCCACAAGAAATGGTCTCTGAGTGCCAAGGTTGGGTTAGTAGGGCTCAATGACTGTGGTGACTGATGAATGAAATACTTCTGTTCAGTCGCCCAGGACTGGGCAGTGGAGAGACTTTCTCTGTGTAAGATACAAAATGGCAGTTTGTATAACATGGTATCTCTCATGAACCAGAAAGCCTCACTACCTATTCAGACACAGAAGTAGCCAACTGCACAATCTTCCTTCATTTCCATTGTCCTTGCCTCTGAGAGAGCTTTGTTCTCTTCAACCACCCATGAGGTGAAAACAAGAGAGATCCCAGGCTCACCTTTCCTGGCCAGTTATCTATCCCCACTGGATGAAGTCACAAACCAAGAAAATTTAATGAGTACCATGGGCTTCTTTAGAATGAGCTGGGACTGGGATCTAGGGTTCTTGACATGTCTGCTTGATTTTTTTCCAAGTGCTTGAGAGTTAGGGAAAGAGAACTAGGAAGACTAGGTGCTAGCATCTGTCTTCTCTCTCTACCACACTTCAACATTATATTCTCAGTGAGCTTCAACTGTCAGTTGTATGCACTACAATGGCAACAAATTAAAAATTAAACTGCTACGCAGGACTGGCAGGAGTAGTAATTAGTAGTTTTGGCAGCAGTAACAATAGCAGAAGGAATAGACCACATATATAAATATAGCACTTGTTATGTGATGTGCCAGGCATGTGCCAAGCACTGCACTTCAAGTCTTTGGATCAGCTTATTAGCCTGTTACATAAATGAAGAAAGTGATGATTAGGGAGGAATCTGCAATCATCCAGATAACTAGTCTAGAAAACAAATTCAAAGGAAGCAGTTTAACCATGGATGTCTTTGGAAAAATCCACTTAGGACTGTGTGGCCTAAGCAATGTGCTTAGCCTCTCTGGACACTGCCTTTCTCTCTCTAAGAGCCCCAACCCCCATGTTCATTGCAGTTTGATGAGTGAATGCATGCAAAGACTTTAGACTCCCTCCCAGCACATAGTAGGAACTCACAATATAGACAATACTTCTAAGGCAATCAAACTCCAAAACCTAAGAATTTCAGGCTGGCATTGGTGGAAGTCTTACCTGGGATTTTAAGCAATGATGTCATGCTTATAAAGTACTGTCACAATTTTTTGGAAGTATCCTGCTAGTTGTCACTTAGGATTTCTTCCTGTTTGCGATGGAGTATGTGTGCATGTGTTGCAGAGGGGTAGATAGTTCTAAACCCAGAGGCATACTACCAGCTGTGGGTCTTTGGACTAAATAATTCTATGCTCTTGAACCTGAATTTTGTCCCCTTAAAAAGAGAGAAAATTCTGGCACCAATGTGCAGAGCTGCTATGAAGATAAGTAAAAAAAAAATCCCCAAGGGGTTCTGATCATATAGACTATACCATGGCAAACTCAATGAAAGGGAGAAGGAACTGACATTATAAGTAAATGAACAATTATTCTGAGAGTCATAATCTCTTGTAATGAAAATACTAAAACGTGGGATATTTATCACTGTGTGGTAGATGAGGGAGGAGGAAGGATTTCAAAGCTGAGCATGTTACCAGGGAGTTCACCTTCCTTCTTTGCTCTCCCCATCTCCATGAAAACCCTTCAACTTTGCTGACTCTGGTTGGGAGCCTAACTCACACAGCTAGGATTTCCAAGAGTCCTTTGACCTCCAAGCTAAAGTTGTCTCAAGAATGAAGGCTTTGTACAGTTTCCCTCAGTTCTTACTGGTATCTGATAATGCAGATATGATGCTGAGAAAGAGAGAGAAAAGCATTTAAAAAAAAACTAGGCAAGGTCAATATGATATGGAGAAAAATGCACATAAGAGAGAGAAAAAAAGTCCCCTGTGATTGGTAGTACCACTCCGCCCCACCCCTGCTTTGCAGACTGACCAAACTATTTGATTCTGAAGGGCAGCCACCAAGTTTGGAACCATTTGGAAAAATAAAAGAAATGAAATAATACTACAGCAAATTACAAAATGATCTGTGTGGTCTCAGACTTTATGGCTACCAAGTCCTAGAAATCTGTACAAGAGGTGACAGTCAAGGTAAAAGTATTCTTCTGCACTCCCACCCGCCACAGTGGGGTGTGTCTCCTTAGCAGCTGACTGACCTGAGACCTTTGGCTCATGTGTGCATCGTAGCTGGACCCGTGGTACTTGGCCGTAAAATCTGGGCTGTAGCCAGCATCACAAGTGCACGGTATATTTGAGCACGGGGGCTGTTTCCTAGATCTATAAACCTGTGGGAGAAAGCTACAATGGTTAGGTGCAGGAGAGGAGGGTGCTGGGTGCTCAGGGAAGGAATTAGGGGAAAGCAAAGAAAGAGACTCATCTTGACTTACTAAGGCCAAGTGGTTGGAAAATCCAGTGTAGAAGACGCACAGCCCCAAACAAAGAGGTCAGATCTAAGCGGTCCCCAAGCCCCGGGGCCAGTGCTAGTGAGGCATGCCGCTCTGTGGAATGACCCCAATGTCTGACAGCAACCGAGACCCTCCCTCTGCAAGGAGAAGGTGTCCAGGCATGGCGGTTCTCTCTCTGTCTTTCAGCAAGGTAGTCCTATGGGAAATGGACTTAAGCTCACTGCCAAAGAATGCCTTTTCCTTCCCAAGGAGGGAAAGAGATGGCATTTTGCAGGGTGAGGAGGTTTTTCTATCCCTAGGTACTGTGTTCAGCATAGTTCATCTTATCGGGCAAAGAGTCAGTCCCAGGGCCCCAAATCCATGTAGACACTCTACACAGTGACCATGTGCCATTTAGAGTTTCAGAGCCACAGGTTCTAGTTGAAATGTGGAAGCCACCTTATGAGGCCACATACCATTGAGCTGAATAAGTTTTATAAATTAAGAATCTGAAGGAATATTTTTAACCACTGCTTTACCCAAGCCCTCATTATATATAGAAGTGATTTCTCCATCCTCCACCCATGTTGGGGAGAGAACACAGGGTTAGTCAAGTTCTCTACCACTGAGATAACTTTGGTTGTCTGCCAAGTTATATATGGAGAAGAAAGAACATCTATAGATTTCAGAGATGGTTTTCCAGTATACTTCAGATACAATTATTTCTTCTTAAGCTGCTTTCAGAAACCCCTCCCCAAAGCAAAGAGCTTTCTGTAAAAGTTAGGATTGTCTCTCCTTCCATTTCTCTAAGACAAGCACAATGGCCTAGAGAGAAGGAAATAGATAATTGGGCCAAAAAGGTGATTTTAAATTAGAATGAATAACGGCAGACAGGTCTCTAAGCCTAGTCTATTGGGAGATGCTCCTTCGCTGAAAGATCCTGGAGGAAACAGCTGAAGAACAAAAGCTGGAAGTAGAGAGAGAAAGAAACCTCTGGAACTAGATGAGGTGGTTCTGCACAGAGCCCAGAAAGTGAGCAAAACCAAAGGGAAAGAGAGTCCCCAAAGTCTAATTAGGCATTTCTAGGATATAATTAGAAGTGGAAGTCTACTGAAAGGAAGAGAGTTGAGAGCTACTTCTGGGAAGATGATGCTAATACAAAAGAAAGGAAAGCAGTGCCAGTAGCAAACCACACAAGCCCAGCTGCATGCACATCAACAAGGAAGCAGTAACATGGTTTTCTAGCAACAGTGCAGGCCGTTTTGCTCCTACCTGGTTGTAGCTGCTTGAGCCTGCAGAATGGACATGGGAGAATGAAGAATAGCAAAACCCAGGGAAAGCACTCAGGCCCCAGACCCAGCAAGACACACCTTGCGTGCAGGGTGCCCCACCTGCTGCTTTAACTGATGCACCAGTCGGTCTTTTTCCCGCTTCAGAGCCATGACTTCTTCCTGGGTCTTTTTCTTTTTGGAGGCAGACAATTCCAGCAAGGCAATGTTTGCATCTTTTTCACTGATAGCCGCAAGTAGTGCTTCCTGTCTGGTAAGATAAAGATGATTGTGATCCTTTTAGTAAAATGAAAAACAATAAAAGTCCTCAAATAATTGGCATTTGTAATTCAATTGAGCCACAAACTATTACCTCTGGGGAAAATATTATAAACAGTACTTAAGATGAGCTACACTTTTCTCTCAGATGGACAAAGTAGCTGGGTCAGAATCACTAAGACTAGCTCATTGTGTCATCTGAGAGAAGAGTTCTTTCAAAGGCTTCAGAGACACAGATACAAATTAGAAATGGGAGGGGCCAAAATAAGCATCTATTCCTAACACAATTCTATTCATCCATCATCCCATCCTCTGCCAAGTAACGCTCTATGTCCTCAAGGCAACCCAACAAAACCAGACAGCAAATTCATTATCATGTGAGGTCTTTCATATGACATTTTTCTTCTCATGTCAGGTCAAGGTCTTTCCGAGGGTCTCCTTTCCATTTTCAATATACTTAGTGAATGTGGCCCTTGTTTTTATTCCATGGGCCTTACCTGCATCACACAACTCCTCTGCCTCTAGATTCAAGTCCAAATATATCTTCTGCAGTTACTAGCTCTCACAATGTTGCCCCACCTGTCACCCTTAAACATCATACTGTTTAAGTTCCCCATGGTACCCTTCATCACTCGACAGGATTCATGTTTATTACTTGTGATACCCTATCAACTTGAGACCTCATTCATCCTTGGTAGCTCCAGCTTCTAGAAAGACCTGTAGGTGCTCAAAATATTGGTTCTATTAGTAGATATGTTCACTATTTCATTTTACAAACTTTGAAAACATTATTGGTGTTCTTATTCCTCTTCAAAAATAAGAAATCTAGGGCTAGCAAGATGGCTCAGCAGTTATAGGAACTTGGCTCACAGGCCTGACAAGCTGAATTCAGTTTCCTGCAACCCAACTCCACAAAGTTGTCCTCTAACTTCCACAGGTATATTGTGACAAATGTGCTACTCCTCCCACATTATTACGAATTCAAGGATGTGTGTGTGTGTGTGTGTGTGTGTGTGTGTGTGTGTGTGCATATATATACATACACAAATAATAAATAAAAATGAAAGTTTTCCTTCTGAATTTATTCACGATTATTGCCTATTTGGAAGTTTCAAGCTGTTTCCTCCTATCTTTAGAGTCTACTTTTTGGTATGTTATTTGTTACAAATTGCAACCTGGGATAGTCTGGAACAATTTTTGACAAGAAAATGGCTTTATTTGAGTGTGTTTCATTGATTCCTTCTCTGCCCCTACTCCCTGGGTCATTTATGAAACATTCTAGATGCCTCAGAAAACCTCATAGCCCCAGGGAAGCCTCATTATTGGGAACTTTTCATGCATATAAGTCCCAAGACTAAAATCTGGTCATGCTTCTGGGTTGTACTTTCTTATCCCTATCATCAGAATTGCCCTCTTCTAGATATTTGAACAAGGTAGCCATTATTTGGATTGCTGATCCCCATCCACTACACACACACTCCTTTTCATGACAGGGGTATGTATGGGTCTTGCTGTCTTCCACTAATGCTCAGATGACTTGTATCTGAGCATCAATACCCAGTTTCACCAGATAAGATGTGGAGATGGTGGACCTGCTTTTACCCAGCTTCAGCAGATAACATGTGGAGATGGCTGACCTGCTCTCCACCCTGCAGCTGCACACTCCTCTAAAATGTTCTGCTGAAGAGGCTGTGTGGACTTCACACCAGGGAGAGAGCTCATATGCTCAGGTTTCCATCCAAGCTGTATTACCCATGGCCTTTTCACAAATACATTTTTAAAAATGGAGATGGAGAACCAAAAACATTTTTATTTTAAGTTTTTGAATCATTGAACCAAATTTCTCTATATGGGGAGAAAATCAGAGACACTTAATTTAAACTTCCCAATTAATTCCAATGTTAGCCATTCTAACATCCCTGGATACAATACACAGGCCACTGTAACATTTTACTCCCACCCCTAAGCTGGCACCAAAATATCTTTTTAAATGGGTGTTACTTACTTAAAAGATCAATTTAAGGAAGCGTGTAAATTGTGCTCTCTCCCTATGGATATTCCTTATGGCTATATGAAGTCACTGAAAATGCGGATAAAAGTCTTAGAGACTTGTGGAAACATTTAAGTTTACTGGGAAACTGTTCATCAGGGGTCTTGTGACTCAGTACATTTTAGAAGCAAAGGTATTATCTTCTTTTCTGGTAAATCTTTCTGGGATATTTGTACAACAATGAGCATGGAAGGACACAGGTAGTCTCTTTCTGGGTCAAAGGGTAGATATTCTTGCTATGCCATATTACAGTGATGAGCAATGGGCAGACATGCCACTGCCTATTACAAAGTATGCAAGCTCCCTAAACTCAGAGTTGCTCACCTGTAATACAAACAGCTGAATGAACGTGTTCTGGTCTTGGTGGGACCAGTTGCAAGTGAAATAGATGCAAACCTGATAACACTGATCTCTGAGTTATAAGCAATAAAATATTTTATTTCTGGCACAGATGTCTCTTGCACTTACAACAGAGGTAGGGCAGCCTGCTACATGCCACTAGAGGTGTCTCCAACTTTCCCGAGTTCGTGAAATAGTGTATATCCAACAGGATCCTGAGTGGTGAATGTGAGAGGCACAGAGTTACCGTGAATAGCTTTCTGCTTATTCCTTTCTACATTTCCTTCTGCCAGAAACACCATCAGAGTAAATGCTGAGTACTGTAAGTAAATCCTTGAACTCACCAAGAGACATCGGATACATCAGGTACAAGCTTCCAAAGCTTCTCACCAAGGTTACTTATGTGTTCTCTATCATCCTCAGCCTTGATGTTTAGACCGGAGTGCACAGTTTTCACATGTGCAGGTCTGGGACAATCCTGGTTGACTCCCATTGGAAAAATATCAGGGATCTCCTAACAAGGCTTTTCGTGTCTACTTTTGCCCCCTTTGCCCATTTCCTCGTCCAAAGTTTGATGTTGCACAGCTTTAATAACAACCTCTAAATGTTACCATAACCCAAAGATTCAAATGTTACCATAACCCAAAATCATTCAAAACTTCCCCTTTCCCCATGAGTTGGTGATTCATGCTTTCTAAGTGTTTAATACTTATTTTTCCTTTTATAAAATTATTAAAAGTCCAAATAATAATAATATCATTATGAATATAATTATGAATTATGATGAGTCACAAATATAATGATATTATTATCATTATTATTATCACCAGGAATTGAACCTCGGCATTATATATTCCTGATAGGCACTTAACCACTAGGCTACATAAGTAGTCCCAGTAAAATAACTTTTAATTCTCACTTTAGTGCTAAAGAAAAATACAAATTAGTTCCTAATTCTTTATAGATGCTATCACAAAATAGAACTCATAAAACAATTTTTGTGAAAGTACTTTCAAGGCCATTCACTAACATTAATATTCATAAAAACAATCCATTTGTTTCTTCATATTTTTATTTTGGTTGACCAAACTGTCTTATAATATGTTTGCACTATACAACTATAAAACTTGCAGTAAAATTTATTTAATGAAGATTATATATATTTTGAAAGCCTCACTTAAATACTGGCCAAAATTAATATGATTCCCCTTAAAACATATTGAAATTTATAGTAAATAATTGTATTCTTTGAAGCAGCAACTATCAGAAGGTAATAAAAACACATAAGGATACAAATGTATGATGACATTACCCATCAAGACATTTGCAAAGGTGAAGACTATCTCTGACTACATTTGTACAGCTATCTATGCCAGGCTAACACTCTAGGTTGGCAGAGTCACTGCACTGCGTTTTATTCAACAGGCTTTATAAAATAACTGGAGAAAATCTTCACAAACTGTTCCACCTACAGTAGTATTTTCAAACACCGTGAGGCAAATTCTGTGCAGTTTTCATTGTCTTTGATTCAAAGGTTTTCTTTTTTAGAGTGATAATGAGAATAATCTAGTAAAGATGAGCTTTATTTTGCCAGCCCACATCATATATCTATACCTTTATGGTTCCTGAGAACCCACTTGCCAATATACTGCCACAGAGCACCCACACTCAGTAATGTGAAGGTCTGCAGAGACAATAGAGCAGGAGGCTTATGTTAACTATTTCTGGTTTTCTCCCCATGTGGAGAATTTTGGTTGAGCCACTTGAAAACTTAAAAATATTTGCAGTTATGAACCACCATTCTAAAAAGTTTCAACTGAGAAGAGTACACAAATGACAAAACGCTTGACTATAAACAAACAAAAATTCTTCTTTTTTTGAAAAATACATTGCTTCCTGAATCCAGGCTGGGGTTTACTCTGCTTCAGAAATTGATTCTGTTTCATCAACTAGAAATGTTGCTAGCCCTTTAAATCGCTTTCTGCATTCAAGCTATCTTTTTTTTTTTTAAATTCACAGACAACATAAGAATTACATATAAATACATTCTTAGTCATTTAGTATGGGTAGGTAGGTATGTACTGGAAGCTTGCAACATTATCTTTTGAACACTGCTATACATTAGTATACAGTTACTGAGGTAATCTGTCTGTGCACCAAAATATAGCTTAAAATATGAAAAGGAAGCCCAAATATGCTAGCAAAGAAGATAAGATAATGCAAAGAGAAATAAATCTATGGGATCTGCTGTGTGCCAAGCTGAGAAAGTGGAGCATAGACAGCATTTTATCAAAGTGCAGCCTAAACAAACGTCAAGGAGAATAACTTCTTTAACAAATATGGGCAACAATGGAGGGGAAAGAGGAGGAGTTCTGTGCCCCCCATGCATTTAGTAGGGGTTAACAATGGATAAAAATACGCACAGGAACACACTTAATAACCCTAAACTGTCATTCACTTTGTAGGAGGTAGTCAAGACACAGCTAATAAAACACAGGGAAAAAAATGGTTTTAGCCACCCTGAAAAACATCCTCCAGGGACTAGCACAAAGAGGGCTGAAGGCTACCTTCTGCTCACGATAAATGTCTCCTTTTGTGTGTCG